GGTCTGCAGGCTGACACTCTAACGGCTGAGCCAAACAGGCCAGGGCCTAATATCTGCTTTTTAAAAGAAGCTGTGTGGCCCTGGCCAGTTTGGCAGCGGCTGGAGTGTCGGCCTGTGGACCAAAGAGTTGCAGGTTTGTTTCCGGTCAAGGGCATGAACCTCGGTTGTGTTTTGTCCCCGGCCCTGGTCAGGGTCTTGCGAGAGGCAACGAGTCAATGTGTCCCTCTCACATCAATGTTTCTCTCTCTGTCCCACGCTATCTGAAGATAAATAGAAAAATATCTTTGGGTGATGATTAAAAAAATTTAAATGAAAGAAGCTGTGTGTATATGTTTTCTTCCGCTTCTTAAAACAGAAACAAGTGACTCCCGCCCCACCCCCACTCTCCTCCATCAGCCTGCCACCCAGTGCTCAGAGCACACGCCCTCCATGCCACTCACCAGACAACGCTGCGAACCATGCCCCCTGCCCCCACCGCACTTCTCCAGCCCGCTGTGCCCTAGACCTCCTTTTAATTTTTATTTTTATTGTTTTAAAAATATTTTTATTAATTTTTAGAGGGGGAGGGGGAGGGGAGAGGGAGAGGAATATCAATGTAAGGACAAGACATCAATTGGCTGCCTCCTGCACAGCCCCACCTGGGATCAAGCCACAACCTGGGCATGTGCCCTGACTGGGAATTGAACCAGCGACCTTTTGGTGCACAGGATGATGCCCAACCAACTGAGCCACACCGGCCAGGGCTAGACATCCTTTATAGAGGTGAGATTCAAAAACTTTATGACTTCCCAACATGGCTCGGCTCATGCGGGCACACCAACTTCAGGGGCATCAAGTTAGGTGTCAGCAGGTGAGCCGCCAGAACTTTCAACACCTGTGACACCTATTTAGTCAGGGGCACTGTGATACCTACTTCAAACCTGTAACACCTGCTTAGTCTTTTCCCTTAGACTGTCAAATAAAGAAACGACAACAGCCAACAATAGCCCTCCGGTGTGAATGAATCAAAATTATACTTTTTTTTTTGTCAGATCGGCAAATAATATATTATTTGGTGTGCCACAGAATTTCAGTAATTAGTTTATGTGTGCCATGAGATGAAAAGGTTGAAAATTACTGTGTTAGTAAATTTAACAGTGTTACCACCAGAGCAAAGGAGTGGGGACAAGGGCTAATGAGGCACTTTGAGATCAGCATTCAAGATTCAGTCCAGCCCGGCTGGTGTGGCTCAGTGGTTGAGCATCGACCCATGCACCAAGAGGTCACTGGTTTGATTCCTGGTCAGGGCACATGCCCAGGTTATGGGCCAAATCCCCAGTGGGGGGCATGCAGGATCAGCCAATCGATGTTCTTTCTCATCAATATTTCTATTTCTCTTTCCCTCTCCCTTCTTCTCTCTGAATTCAATAAAGAAAAAAATTAGCCCTGGCCAGTTTGGCTCAGCAGTTAGAGTGTCTGCCTGTGGACTGGAGAGTTCCGGGTTCGGTTCCCACTATGGGCATGTACCTCAGTTGCAGTTTGTCCCCACCCCACTTGGGATTGTGTGGGTGGTAACCACTCGATGTGTCTCTCTCTCATCGATGTTTCTCTCTTTCTTCCTGCCTCACTCCCTCCCGTTCTATTTGAAGATAAATGCAAAAATGTCTTCGGGTGAGAATAAAAAAGAAAAAAAATTTTTTTTTTAAAAGATTCAGTCCAGAATACTATGCAGCTGTAAGAGAGATCTCTAATCCTTTGAGACGACATGGAAGGACCTGGAGAGTATTATGCTAAGCAAAATAAACCAGTCAGAGAAAGACAAATACCACATGATCTCACTTATTTATGCAATATAATGAACACAATAAGCTGGTGAACAAAATACAGCCAGAGACATAGAAAGGAGTAGGGTTCAGACTGACAAACCTCTGAGGAGGGGTGCAAGGGGGAGGAATGAGATAAACCAAAGAACTTATATGTATATATGCGTAACCAATGGACATAGACAATAATGCTGGGGGGGGGGGCGGTCAGGAGGAGGGTGTCTAGGAGGAGAAAAGGAGAAACATCTGTAAGAAAAATAAACGAATTAAAGATTCAGTCCAGGAACATGGAATCCTGGGCAGTGCACATAGAACACGGTGTGTGCATCGCAACATGCTACTGAGCAAAAGAAGATACCACATATACAGCAGGATTGCCATTGATATAAGGTTCCCACACAGGCAAAATGAAATGGTGCTTTTTAGGAATGCATCAATGGATGGTGAAACCAGAGACACGAAAGGACAAAATGACCACCAGAGTCAGGGTGGAGCTTCTGAATACAGGGACACTGCTGTTTTATGACGAGGACACATCCATGTTTCATGCACTTTTCTGCATGTAGGTCACAGTTCCCTATGTAACACAAGAATTACTGAATAAAAAGAAAGCGAAGCCACTAGGTTGACTCATTAAATCCATGTAACTTCTGATCCGTAAACTTCATCGCCAACTCTTACACCCAAACTACCAGTAGGTAAAAAACACAACTTCCCAAGTTTCTTAGTCCCTTAATCTCCAGGGCCATTAAAATACTTGAGATGGCCCTGGTTGGTTTGGCTCAGTGGTTAGAGCGTCAGCCTGCGGTCCAGAGAGACCTGGGTTCGGTTCCCGCTAAGGGCATGTACCTCGGTTGCAGTTTGTCCCCGGCCCCGGTTGGTCATGCGGGTGGCAGCCACTCGATGTGTCCCTTTCACGTCGCTGTTTCTCTCTCTCTCTCTCTCTTCCTCTCCCTCCCTCCCACTCTATCTGAACAAGAAATGGAAAAAATACCCTCAAATGAGGATAAAAAATATATATATACTCGAGATGACATGGAAATCTCTGGAAAGATCCAGATCCCACCACCTCAGATAAGAATGTCAGTAGCTGCCCTGGGCCTGCCTTATTTCCTACTCTCCAGAAGGAATGAACAAAGGGCTCCTCTTCCACAAATATCGGCCATGCTCTTTCTACCACCCAGCTGTTGTTTCATGGAATTTATGCTTAATATCAAATGCTGTTTAGGGCTAAGGGGTCCCAGCTGGAGGGCGGGGCTTCTGCTCTCCCTGAGTCCAGCTTTCTGTTCCCTCTTTCCTGAGAAAGTTACCACAGACGGTTGTGGGTAAAAGAGCCAGTTGGGGCCTCAGGACTTCCCATCCTTAGGTCATGATAGAGGGTCACCTCTAGTGCATAAACAAGGTCAACATCCTCAGAATGAGGTGTGGGGGCCAGAAACGGTCAGACAGCCTAGTGGAAGAAAGCTTTTTATCACTCAAGTTAACAAGGACAAGGATGGGCCGTTAACAATCCTCAAAGGGAGACCTTGGGCTCTGCAGTCAGAACAACCTGGCTTCCAGTCCCAGTTCTACCCCTTAACGCTGCTGCGACCTGGAGAAAATCCCAAAGTCTGAGAATAAAATAAGAGCTTAAGATTCCTCATCTGTGGTAAGTTTGGGACAATAGCTTCTACTCACAGAGATGTTGTGAAGAAGAGGAGGGAAAAAAGCCAGAAGTAACTCTTCCGGAACACAGTAGGCACGTAACAAATGGTATTACTGTTGAAAAACACCAGCCCCAGGGCTTGGCAGTGCTCCTGTGAAGGGCGAAATGAAGTCTGCTGCTTCCCGCCCACCTTGCGACACTGTACAGCTGGTTGACCTCGGGACAATTCCTGATCCTTTCGTCTCATGTGTTTGGAAAATATAAAAATATTTACCTTAAAAATCCTTGAAAATCCTTAACAGAGAGTTAACTCCACCAACAGAAATAACTCCTATCTCCCACCTTCCCTACAATGATAAAAGGTGAGGAACATACAATTTAAAAAGGAGAGTTAGATGGTTCATCTAGCAGTCAATCTATAATCACCACATTAATTAAGGCCAGTGAAGACACACATAACTACCATAAAGACTTCCCCAAAGCCCAAATCTAACCTTAGAGTTTCTGGCTCCTTTTTTCTGAAAATCCACATTTCCCAGCAATAATATATATATCCTAACTAGTGAAGGTATTGAGAATTAGGAAAATAACAAACAAGGAAGGAAAGGTCAAAAATAAAGATCGTAGATTAAACAAGGCACCAAATGATTTGCAAATAATACTTGACTATTGTGAAATGTTCACACTATGGATTCAACGCTTACAGCCGAGGGCTCTACTAGCAAGTAGAAGCGAGGCAGGGATGGCAGAAGTACGTTACACTAAAACCCAGTTACGGTGGGCTTTTCATTTTTTCACATTTGTTCTTCGGTTCTCCCTCTCGGGAGCACACCCTCCTTTCGCTCCCCCTCTTCTTCCCTCCAGGCACATCATCTTTGCTCTCTCTCTGCTGAGTCCAAGGGCCCTTCTTCTGCTTCTGTAGCTTGTTTCCTGAGCCCACGCAGCCCAGCTGGCTCACTTCTGCTACCTCTGTAACTTTCTGAATAAACTTTCTCTTACAATTTTTTTTTTTTTATCCTCACCCAAGGACACTTTTCCATATTTTGTTCAGATAGAGAGAGAGAGAAACATCGATGTGAAGGAGACACATCAAGTGGCTGCCACCCGCACCACCCAACCAGGGCCGGGGACAAACTGCAACCGAGGTACGTGCCCTTAGCGGGAACCGAACCCGGGTCTGTCTGGACCGCAGGCCGACGCTCTAACCGCTGAGCAAAACCAGCCAGGGCTCTCTTACAGTTTGAAGGGGGAAAAAGTGTCTTTGTTAAGGTGTGACACAGACCTCTGTTTAAAGGCATCATGCGGGAAGAACCAGGTGAAGATGTTGAGCAGAGATAAGCAGCCAACACTCTGTGATGTCGATCTGGATTCTACTTTCCACAGAGGAGAGTCAGTTTTCAGGACTTCACAGCTGCTTCCACTTTTCCCTGTGATTTCTGACTAGTCGTCTAAGAATAAGGCACCAACAGCTCTGCAGAGTACGTAGCTCCCCCTGACACACCGAACACCTGTCGCTTTGCTCCCCCATCTACAGAATGGTCCACCACACCTACCATGATGGTGTGCTCCGGAAACTTGGCTCGGACGAGTTTCACAAATTCCACAAAATGCTCCGAATAGCCATTGGCCACATCCAGGCAAATGAACTTGACCTGTGGCACCGCTTCCAGGATGCTGCTCATCTTTTCCAGATCATTCTTCCCGCTGCCGGAACTCACGGCGACATGCTGTACCAAACATAAACCAAGAGGTGCAAGACGTGGACAGTGAGTGGCGTTCTGAAGTCAGCCCTGCCTCCACCCACTCGCCCGTTCTGGGGACAGTTCGGTGACCCTCTGAGATCACCCTGATCAAATAAGCACTCAGTGGACCTGCTCGAAAAATATGCAGCAGCGGAGGTAAAGGACCTTCATTCATTGAATTATCTAAATTTTGCCTCTGTTGTCTTTCCCACCATTACATTGCTTATGCCCTTAACCCTGGCCCTCAGCCACAGAATGTTTCTAGTAAGCAGCTTAGTAAGTAGTCAGGAGACCTTGTCCTTGGCATTCGTTTCTTTCCTTACGCTCTCTCTGTGGGACTGTGACTCGTGGAACCACTAGTGTGAATGCTTCTCCTCCTGGAGTAGAGGAGGGAGGGGAAGAAGAAGGGGAAGCCAGTCGGCGTGGGCCTCCCTACGCCAACACTGCAGCCATCACCCCGAGCATCTCGCTCTGAGCACCAGGAGGAGGGAGAGAAAGACGTCTAAAACTTCTCTGATAAAACTCCCTCCCATTTTTATTTTTACTCCCAATACAACACTAACACAACATGCACATTGTAACACAGAGAGCTGCAAATCTGTATTCCTTTTAAAAAAGGGCCAAGTGTCTGAAGGTCCGAGAACAAAGAAGCCTGACATGATCTTTCCCAACGACACTTGGATGCGTTTCTAGCTGAAGCCCCTCCATGACACTCCCTCCCCCCACCTCCACAGCACTAGAGCACCCTCAACCCACCCATCGGCTCCTCTGAAAAAGGCTCTTTGGGAAAAGACCTGTGTTGATTTATGCCTTTAGTGAAACTAAACTGCGGGATTGTGCCCAGAGTCAGTGTCTCACCTTTACGAGAATACTATACGAATGTTTAACTTCTGTCTCTAAACCATAAGCCACAGAGGAGAGACCTATGTTAATATCCTTGTTATTCTACAAAAATCACAACAATGTAGCTACAAGCCAGACGCTGAGTCCAGTTTCCTGGGTTTACCCCAGTTTCACTCCTGTGGACAGTCAGACCCGTGCCGTCCAAACCACACACTTCTTTCCCTCCCACAAAACTTTGTTTTCTCTTATTTTCCTCTCCATTTCTGTTCAAGTTTGTCAGGCAAAAATTGAGAATAGTTTATCTCAGTGCTACTGAGTTTTTAACATTTGCCCTTTTCAGAAAATCAACCTTTAATTTGGTGGAGTGTAGTGAGTCAAATGATCAGACCTGGTCGTGAAAGCCAAGGTTCCAATGAACCACACACAGCCCCAAATGCACTGCCTTCCCAAGTCCTTCCAGAGACGAGGGGCAGCAGGTGAAACGAGAAGCTTCCTCTGAACACAGTCCGGCAGAAACAAAGGATTTGCTATGAAGCCAGAATTATCTTATCTCCGAAATCACCTTCTCACTAATCAAAATCCATACATAATTAAAGCATAGCCAAAAAAAAAAAAAGAGCCAGTGCCCCCTTAAAAGCAGTCCATTATGAAGTCATTTTCCAGTCACAGGTAATCTGATCTGGTCTTGGAAAGTGTCTCTAATGCGGAGACACTCCGCTGGTACTGGCTCCGAACCACCTGACGGTGCCAGGAGGAAAGTCAGATCTCTCGAATTGTGGCTTTTTGTTATTTTCAAACTGCCCTTTAAAAAAAAAAATACTAACAGCTTTATTGAGATATAATCACATACTTTAAAAGAATGTTTAAATCCACCCATTTAAAGTACACACAATTCAGTGGTTTCTAGTATATTCAGAGTTGTGCAACCGTCGTCACAATCACTTTTAGAACATTTCATCACCCTGAAAAGAAACGTTCATAGCTTTTAGCCCTCACCCTCTAAACTTCCCATGCCTGCGGCAACCACTGATCTGCTCTCTGTCTCTGTGGGGGCGCCTGCTCTTGACGGTTCACGTAAACAGAATCGCATACGTGGCCTTTTGTGTCTGGCTTTTTCACTTAGCAAAATGTTTTCAAGGCTCACCCAGATGGAGCACGTCAGTACTTCGTTCCTTCTTACAGCCGACTAGCATTCCATTGTGTGGATATACGTTTTCATCCACCAGCTGATGGCCATCTGGTTGGTTTCAACTTCTGGCTATGATGAACAATGCTGCTATGGACATCTCTGTACAAGCTGTTTTAAGGACTTCGGTTTTTATCTCTCTCGGGCCTATAACTGGAACTGGGACTGCTGAGTCACATGGTAACTCTTCTGTGTAACCTTCTGAGGAACTCCAGACTGTTTTCCAAAGCAGCTGCACCATTTTACATTCCCCCAGCAATATAGGAGGGTTCCTATCTCTCCACATCCATGTCAACACTGGTTACTCTGTCTTTTTAAAATTTTTTAGCCTCATCCAAGGACATTTTTGCATTTATCTTCAAAAAGAGCTCGAGGGAGAGAGGCAGGATGAGAGAGAGAAACATCGATGTGAGAGAGACACATCGAGTGGTTGCCACCCACATGACTCCAACTGGGGCCGGGGACAAATTGCAATCGAGGTACATGCCCTTAGCAGGAACTGAACCCGGGTCTGTCTGGTCCGCAGGCCGACGTTCTAACCGCTGAGCCAAACCGGCCAGGGCTGTCTTTTGTTTGTTTTTGTTTTTTTAAAGAGATGGAAAGGGAGAGAGAGATAGAAACATCGATTGGCAGTCTCTTGCATGCCCCCTGCTGGAATCAAGCCCACAACCCAAGCATGTGCCCTGACCGGGAATCGAGCTGGGACCTTAGTCTATGGGACGACGCTCAATCCACTGAGCCACACTGGCCAGGCTCTCTGTCTTTTGATTGCAGCCATCCTAGCGGGAATACTGTTTATTCAACTCCAAAACAACCTGTTATACTTAGATGTTTTTGCTACATCTAAAAGGAATCTTTGGACTGGATCTACCCCTGGCAGGTCCTCCCCCAGCTCTCATAATATAACACTTCACCTTTCAAGGGAAAAAAACAGATGCTCCTTGCAAGTAAATCCTAATATTTTCAAAACAGGATACAGAACAGGTCTCCTCGGCAAAACCCTGGCAACGATGAAGGGCTGGGGACCACTACTGAGCTCCCCAGGTCTCTCTGGTGTCTGTGTGTCTACCTGCTGCTGATTCAAATCCTTTCGACAACCCCAAAGATTTTCTACCCTCTGCGACAAATGTAACCGTCATACCTGCAGGCATTCCGGGTGGCTGGTGGCAAAGAGCTTCCAGTCGTCCAGGGTATAGTGCTTGTGCACTGCTGTGAACATGGAGTGCTGGGAAACAAAACAGCACCATTAGGATGAGAAGCCCAGTGAGCCTCCTTCCTCCAGGAGGCGGCTGAGTCAACACTACAAAAACATCAGGTGTTCCTGCCAGTCTCCTTTAATTAGCTTCGAATATGCTCCTAGGAGCCAAAACAGACAAAGATGAAACCAGTGAAATCACAAAAGGGTTTTCCATTCTAAGCTGATCAGACAACAGTGCGCTCAGGATTTAGGAGGCTCTGCGAAGAGGCAGGGCAGGGAAAAGGGGGAGCTCTGAGCCCCGCCCCCGCTGACCACCTGCATTAGACCGAGAGCAGGTCCCCTGCCCGTAGGAAGGGGCTCCTTAAGGAGAATTCTGCTGAGCCAGCCCAAAAGAACTTCAACTTATACCTGAAAGCTTTGCCTCGTGTGCAACCTAAACCTTCTTCCTATAAGCTAAACACGTGAGGCAGCTGGTATCCCTAAGGCAGGACATTATAATTACAGCAGTAAATCTATGACTCTCAACCTGGCATGGTCTGAGTACCTACCTTGTGCACACAGTTTGCATACAATACTTCATTTACTTCTCAGAACAACTGTGTACACTCACGTTAGCTTTGTGGGCAGAAAAGGAGCCTAAGAAGTATAAATTTAAGAAATTGAATAATTGCTTGGCCGGTTAGGGGCAAAGGCCAGAAGCAAACAAACCTGACTGCAGCTCAAGCTCCCTCCCCTAGATCAGGGCCTGTCTCCTCACCTCTCTGGGTCCATTTCCCATCGGCAGTTCCCCGTTCTAATGGGAAACCTATGACTTCATCCACTTACACTAACTCAGTGGGTCCCGGAAATAGAACCTTCCAAGCACCCACACGTGGTGGGCTATTTCAGTGTACACTGTCTCGTTAATGGGGACTCTCTCCCGCGCAAGGGGGAAGAGCCTAACAAGTCGTACGTTTTTCATGGACTAATAACCTGATATGTGAATTAATCAGGGCTATTTATTGCTCCCTGATTCCACCCACTTCTACATAATTCATTAGTAGCAATGGCTGATCACAGAACAGAGCAACGAAAGAATAAGGGGAAAAAAACTACAAATTCCTTCAGCAATTAATGTATTAGCCTCAGCCCATGGCTCAGTGGGGGCTGAGGGTTGAGAGATAATACAGCTGATCATGGAGTCAGACAGACCACCTCCTACGCCAATTTTTGAGCTCATAATTTGTTTGAAGATCTTCCTTCTAATCACTGGCTAATAATGACTCCCAGCACCTCCTGAGGTTAGACTTGCTGCCCACAGCGAGAAGCTCTTTCGACTAATTGGATTTACTTTTTCACTTGGCAGGATTATCAGCACACATTATCAGTGCACAGTACAAGCAAATGCTTGCATCCGGGATGGAGTGCCTCACACCTGGGACACAGCTGCATGAAATGAAGGTCCTGCCCACAGAAGGCTTTTCCTTCATTTTTCCCAAGGCCAGGGTACCAGCTACCCCACTTACAGGACATTAGACTGATAACTGGCTAAAAGGGACCTTGAGCTTGTACTGTGATCTGTCAGTGTAAATTCTGGAGTCAGGCTGGGTGTGAATCTTGACTGTCTCTCCTTGGCTGAACACCCTGGGCCAAGTTACCTCTCCTCTCCCTCTCCGCCTCAGTCTCCTCCCTTGTAAAGGGAACCTGGCTGGTGAAGCTGTGGCAACATGAGACCATTATCTACAGCTGCCCAAGTGTTTCCTACAAATGATGTCATGGACGTCAACGCACGGCCTGCACGCGAAGCAGTTCTGTTTCCTTTAAAGGCAGTCTCCCTGTCCTATAAATGGCACTCGACCAACTTTACACTGTGGCACAATGTCCAGCTTCTTTCCGTGGCTCCAATTCCGAAACGGGCATCTTCAAGGACGTCATGGGTGTGGCTCCAGACCATCCACTGACGGCAAAGTCCAGACTCCGCCCATCCCATCCCTTTTGTTTGAAAAGGAGAAAAGAAGTGTCCCCAGCAACAATCGGACTCAGAACTAAGGATTCCACAGCCGAGGACCCCAGTGCAGCCGTCCCTCGCCACTTACTGTTTCGACTTGCTGGCGGCTTCACTCTATGGTGGTTTTCTCTAATGCGTATTATATTATATTTGAAAAAACCGCGACAGAGCGAAGCCCGAATGTGGAAGCGCGAAGTGGCAGGGGGGCTGTGAGTCAGTCAAGACTCCTACTTCGCGGAAATCCATTCATCGTGGGAGAGCCTGGAACTGATGAACCGCGTCAGCGAGGGCGCACTGTGTCTCGCTTTTCTCCTCTTCCCCGTGTCTGAACAAGACCGGGGGGCTCCTGGCCACCCGTCCAGTGTGAGCAGCAGAGGGGAAAGCCCACCATCCTACCTGAGACATCACCGCTGCCATCTCAAACGTCCCCACGGTGTCCATGTTGGCCACTATGATGGGAATCCCTGAGTAGGTCTGCTTCGAGTTCCGAAAGGTGAAGGTCCGTTCAAGATCCACCTAGTGGCGAAAAGGGGAAAGAAGTGCTTTGCTCTTTGCAGGATTTGTGCAGAAATTTTCGAGTCTGAAGCAAGTGGTAAGAACACAAGGGAGGTGTCTGTCCCTTAGTCCCTGGGTTCTCTTAGTGCCAGGCCAGATGTTCCCCAGACAGAAGAATCCCCAAGGACACCGAGTCCAGGGCCGTCATCCAGGTCCGAAAGCTGACCCGGCTTCTCGGCGTCGCCGGTGCGAGGCACTGCGCGCTCCGGCTTCCAGCCCAGCCTCCAGATCCTAGCGCTCTCCCTCAGGAGCCTCTCCCAGCGCACTGCCACCGTCTACCCCAGCCTGGCCCACCCCAGCCCTAGACACCCCCATACAAGGCCCCTCTCCCCACTTCCCAGCCCTGGAGAAACGTCCCTCTTCTGAGAAAATCCACTCGCTCTCCCCTTCCGTTCTCACCTCCCACTCCAAACTCACCCTGCGGCGAGCTGCAAGCCATTAGCCCCTTGACCTTCCAGCCTCCTCCCGGCCTGTGGTTAGGAGCCTCTTTCAAAGAGCTGGGGCGAGTACGTGGCAACCACTGTCTCCGCGTATAAACCGACCCTAATGTAACTTCATCTTTGGGCATCTGGGACTAACTCAGCTATTGGAAGAGCTAGGCCGTGACAGTGGGTTCACCAAGAGCAGTGTGCTAGGTGTTCGTCAAGAGCTAGCAGGTTCAGAATGACTTCTTGGACCTGGGGCAGATGGCGTGCAGATCCATCCCTCCCCCCTCCCCTGCTCTGTATGCATCACAGGCGGCCCCCTGCAGGCTCCATCTCCCAGGCTGCTTTCTGGCTGTGTTCAGCCAAGGCGGTCACTGGGTAGGAAAGTGGGGGAGAGAGGAGGATGGGGGAGAGGGCCTGGGCGTAGGCCGGTAGTTCTCCCACAAGCCCTCTGCTGTGGCCTGCAGCATCTTTGTTCCAGCTGTCCCCAAGTGATCCCCATCCCTGGGCCTCAGTAAGATCATCTCCCCACCTTTGGAAGTGTCTTCTCACTGCTGCCGATCTCTGGGTGCCTCAGTAGCTCACCTGGCACCTCAGCAAGATCGGGATGTCCTGCATTCAATTCCCTCTTTTAAATATTCAGCACTGTGTTTCCCTGGCTGGCCCTGATGGATACGGCCCACTGGACGTGGGCACCTCTCCCAGCAGAGCCAGCAAGAGAAAGGCTGGTGTGACTCTTAAGCTTCTGAAATAAGCCGGACCCACCCTACGTGAATCCTGGCTTCGTGAGTACGCCCCCAATAATCATTTCCCACCAGTGTTTATCTAGTTCCTTCTTTTATTCTTTTCATTTGAGACAAGTCTCACTATACAATCAAAATGTGAAAAAAAACAACAGCACAAAAAACAAAAACCACCAGGGGGCATCTCTGGACTCCTCGCTTTTTCAGGTCCCTTGCTTCTCCACACCAGGCTCCCTGTCCACCTGGCTCCCCGGGTGAGCGATGGCAGAAGCATGTCCACACTGGCCTTAAACAGCAACCAGTGAGGGGCAATGAGGCGCTGTCACTGCCTCAGCACATGGGCGGGCCATCCCTTTCTCGACTTCCTCATTATGAGTCTTGGTTCTACTTTAGTGAACAAGGTACATTTCGATTCTGAAAGATAACTAATGGGGTCTATCTGTTGCTGTGCTGCTAAGGGCCCTAGCATTTTGACTTCTCAGGCTTAAAATAATCAGAATTCTTTGGTCTCAAATTACTGACACTCTGCCAAAGATGCATGGGGAGAGATGCTATCCTGCACCCAGCTGAGCTCACAGTGGGCTTTTCTTGGCGCTCCGAAACCTATCTGTCGGCAGTACACGAAAACAGAGATCTCCAAGGACAGGTCAGCCTTAGCAATGACTCTTCCCCTCATGTCTAGTCTTCTCCATACGGTAGAGTCTATGCAAGCCTTAATTCAAAAAATGATCAATAAAATTATCTTCTCAACCTTATCAACTCAGACACACACCAGACCAGTTGTCCAGCTGCCGAGGAAGAAAACTTGGAATTTAATCTGCCACAGCTGGTCAATACAGTAAATATAGCACCCCCAAATTCTCACTCTGCTAAACTGTCTTGAAAGGGAACATCAAGGAATAAACCACCCCTCCCCCACCTCAAAAATGCATGTTTCTGCAGCTCTTCCTTTATTTTTTAATTTTTTTTTCTTTATTGATTTTAGAGAAAAAGAAACACTGATGAGAGAGAACATCGACTGGCTGCCTCCTGCATGCCTCCCACGGGGGGGTTGGGCCCACAACTTGAGCATGTGCCCTGACTGGGAATAGAACCGGCAACCTCCTGGTACATGGATCAATGCTCAACCACTGAGCCACAGCAGCTGGGCTGCAGCTCTTTAAAAGCACCTTCATTGAAGTCAACCAACATTAGAGCCCAGAAGAACAAGTGGAGGCCCTCCGAACACAGTGCTAAATACCTCCATGTTACAAGTCAAGCTAACAAGCTGCAAGTCAAGCTAACAAGCTGCTACATAAAGTTTGTTCTGTCCTCCTACCTTAACAAACATAATTTCAGTAATGACCTGGAAAGCACCAGAACATGGTGTCATGGGGAGCCAGCCCAGGCACCCAGTCCACATCTCCACCCCAATCTTGTGTGCACACACATGAACACCCCAGTCCACACATTAAGTTCCCTGCACACATACACATCCACTCCCACCAACACGTGCAACCTGGCCCCTCTCTGAAGTTCGAGGCAGCATACCAGCAGCACCGGTGGCCCTTGAAAAACACACCTGGCAGGGAGCCCCTTGCAGGCCTTGGAATCAGCTCCCCTCACCAGGGCCAGGAGATCCAGGATCCTGAGTACCTGGAGAAGGGCCTAGAAGGAACAGCACAGCCCACAGGCCCTGTCCAGTGAGGAGGAGTCAAGGGACCCTTCCGTCTAGATCTGGGGACGGTACTAATTAAAGCAATTCTCTTATTCACTACATTGTTCCTTATCCGTCTCACCTGTAGATCATAAGTCTCTGTACAGGGACAACGCCTTTCATCTTTGTGGTCTTACTGGCTCAAAAGTGGAATAAATTAGCCCTGGCCAGGTGACTCCATTGGCTAGAGTGTCATCCCGTGCACTGAAAGTCTGCAGGCTCGATTCCCAGTCAGGGCACATACCCAGGTTGCCAGTTCAATCTTGGATCAGGGCGCGTGCGGGAGGCAACCATTTGATGTTTCTCTCTCACGTTGATGTCCCTCTCTCTCAATTCCTTCCTCTAAAATCAATAAAAACATCCTCGGGTGAGGATTTAAAAAATGGGGGGAGGGGTACAAATTAACACCTAGGTGAGGAGCAAGAATAATACCATTTTGGCTCCCAGCCTTTTTCAAGCAATGCTTGGTGGGCCCCGGCCCAGCCCTCTGGATGTGCTCTGTCCCCTGGAAGTGTCACCATCAACTCTCAGGAGAAGCACGCACAGCTGCACATTACTGGACAGCCAGAGGTTCCATAAATGGAAGGGGTCCCTGTGGCCAGTCCAAGCATACACACACACATGAGAATCATCATAGGCTGATGTCCAAAATCCACATGCTTGGGCTGCCTGAAACTGAATACATCAGAACCTTTGTGTTCGAGACAAGATGTGTATCTTTGGAGTGTCTTCCTAAATGATTCTGAGGCATCCACAAATAACAAGTCTAGTGAAACCCTCTAGTTTCACAGAGCACAGCTGTTACGGTTTGTGTCTCCCCCCAAAAGATGTTGAAGTCCTAGCCACTGACATTTTTTGGCAATACTGTCTCGGCGGATGATCAAGGTAAAATGAGGTCATTAGGGTAGGCCCATTCCAATATGACTGGTGTTCTTTTAAAAGGGGGGAATTTGCACAGAGACGCACAGAAAGGAAGAATGTTATGTGAACATGAAGGCAGAGATCAGGGTGATACATCTACAAGCCAAGAAACACCTACGACAGCCTGTAAGCCATCAGAGAGAGGGGACTGGAACAGTCTCCCTCCCGCCCTCAGAAGGAATCAACTCTGCCAACACCTTGGTCTGGGATTCCCAGCCTCCAGAGCTGTAGACAATAAACATCCGCTGTATGAGCCCCCCAGTCTATGGAGCTTTGTCACAGAAGCCCTGGGGACCTGATCCAGAGGCAAAGGAAATATAATTTGTGACAGAGCTGGGACTGCAAATCAGATTTCCTTTCTCCCAGCCCGACAGTCTCTCCATCTGCCACGCTCTCATCCCTGGCTGAGGGTCCCTCAGGCTGGACCAGAACTCTGCTCACTGGACCACTGGAGAAACAATCACTCCAGAGACTTAAGGGGACCGATACTCAGTGTCATGTCGTTTTCCCTGTCCCAGGAAAAGTGGCCAATTTTCTGATGCAAATTCTCTTCAATACTTGACTTCCAAAGTCGGAGTTGCATTAAGTTTTTGTTTTGCTTTTAAAAACAAATCTTACGCCCTGGCCAGTTTGGCTCAGCGGTTAGAGCGTCGGCCTGCGGTCCGGAGAGACCCGGGTTCGGTTTTCGCTAAGGGCACATACTTCGGTTGCAGTTTGTCCCCGGCCCTGGTTGGTCGTGCGGGTGGCAGCCACTCGATGTGTCCCTTCACGTCGATGTTTCTCACTCTCTCTCCCTTCCTCTCTCTCCCTCCCACTCTATCTGTACAAAAAATGGAAAAATATCCTCGGGTGAGGATTTAAAAAAAAAAACAAACAAACAAATCTTACTAGAGCAAGGACTGAGTTGGGACATCTGAGCCAGGAATAGGTCCTGGGGAAGAATGTGGGCTCCCCAGTCTATCAGATAAGGACAAAGTCTTGCCTCAGTCAACAGACAAGTCAGTCCCTTTGAAAAGATGACCCAAATGCCCCCACACAGCCTGTGGCACTTAACTCTTGTGTGCCAGGGCTCATGAAGACACAGGTAAAGGCAATAAGTAGAGGGCCAGTTGAGAGATGACAGCCCATCTGGTACAACCACTGGAAGGTCACCTGGCCCATCTCTACCTGTACCCTTTTGCCTGTGGAAGGTAACTTCAAATTCACTTTATGTGACACTTATGGAAATGCCCCAGCAGGAGTACTCAAACTTCCGGGTGGGAGGTCACTCTGCCTTTCTCTCCACGTCCTGCTCACACCTGATGATCAGCACCAGGCCTGGCTCACAGCAAAACTGTCCCCCTGATCAATCTTGTCCACGTCGAAACTCTCCCTTCTCAGTAACTCTGCTCTCATGGGGTACATTTTCTTTTCTTTCTTTTTTAAATCCTCATCTGAGGATATGTTTTTGTTTTGTTTTGTTTTGTTTATTTGGGGGGGGGGACACCCATATGAGAGATAAACATTGACCAGTTGCCTCCTGTACATGCCCCAACCAGGCATCAAACCCACAACCTTCTGGTGCACAGGATGACGCTCCAACCAACTGGGCCACCTGGCCAGAGCTCACAGGGTATGTTTTCTGTCCTGGCTCCACACAAATCTGCTCAAAGTCGATGATTTACTAGTTATTTACCATTCAGCTTCCAATGTGCATTGCGATATGACTTCTGCCAGGGGGCATACATTTGGCTTCTATCTGATTGTTCACTGAAAAGTTTTTAATCTGCCTATAAAAAATTTCAGGCATCCACAAGCAAACTGAGAACATATCGAGCAGGGATTAGAAGTCTAGCTAGATCTAGGCCTAACTACATCCCGCAACACCACTGAAGCAGGCAGATCAGGAGGGTGGCCGGCCAGGCAGCTGCCGCAGGCACCAGGGAGCTCAACTCACACAGGCACCAAGTGCAAAGGCAGTGCCAGTTAACTCCCGTTTCCAGGCGCAGAGCTGCAAGCCCCCTCAAAAGTGGAAACACGGAAACCTTTTCCAAGACGCAGAGTTTTCATTGCAATGGACACATGTAGCTTGCATGGTGCCATCAGAGGCTGGGACATTAATAGTTTCAATCAGCCCAAATTATGAAACCAAACAATACATATTATCATGCTATTCCCTTTGTTTTGTTTTTTATCCTCACCCGAGGACATTTTTGCATTTATCTCTCAAGAGAGAGAGACACCGACTGGTTGCCACCCACACAACCCCAACCAGGGCGGGGACAAACTGCAACTGAGGTACGTGCCCTTACTGAGAACCGAATCCAGGACTCTCTGGTCCGTGGTGCGATGCTCCAATTGCTGAGCCAAACTGGCCAGGGCTACATACATTCTTAATGTTTTATCTTCTCAAGGTGTTTCCTGGTCAGAAAATCCATATAATGTATCCTTGTTTTAAACATATAATTTTTCTTAAAAGTTTCTCTCTTCTAAGTGAATTCTGAACACATATTTAAAGAATATTGAGGCCACCAAATTATTAGTCTGCCTAGACCCCACATCTTAATGTGGCCTTAGGTACTGACCACAGCTTGTACTTGGGGAAGCCCAGGCCGGCCATGCGAACTGTTTATTTCCCTTTCAAGAGTCTGCCCCACTCTTTAGCGCCTGAAAGAACATGAAGGACAGGCACAGAGTCACCCAATCTAGGCCAGTGAGACAAGGGTTAACCATTTCTCTCTTGCCTGTTCCAGTCCTGTGCTGCCCCGTCCTCCCTGGCTGCAGCTTGCCAACCCTCCTGCTTGAGAAGGTGACTTGGTTCTGGTCATTGGTTAAAGCAGGAGGCCTCCCTAATTCAAACAAGCCCTTGGCTGGCAGCACCAGGCACGGCAGTTGGGCTTGGGCACCGGTGGGCAGTCCGCTGACTTATGAGTGGTGGTTGGACTGGGGTGTAAGAAACAGCTGCTGGCTCAGCCTCCTCCTGTTGACTCCTGTGGCCTCCGGCCTCCAGACCCAGGGCAGCTTCCTCTCTGGCTCTCAGCAGACCAGGCAAAGCCGTGGTCACCAGCACACACCACTCCAGAGGACTGTGCCTTTCTGTGCAGCTGGTTTAACCTTCAGAGTGTGACCTTCCTCCTCACCAGTAGGGGCATCCCTACCCCCACTGGAGCTATTTCAGTCCGGCCTCCACCTGTTCTTCAGGCTTTAATTCAGTTTGTCCCCCAACCCCACGCCTGCACCCCAGTGCTTTCAGCTTGTCTAGGTCTGGGCAGCTGTCCAGTAAGGAGGGTGCCACCAAGCGCGGGTCCCCTGCCTCACTTCAGCAAGGCCACTGAAACGCGGCAAGTAAACGGAACTTCTGCCCTGAAGTTTCCATTTATCAGACATTTTAAAGAAATCCCATTGCTGGACCTGCCACTAAACCAGCAACAGTTTTCCCCACTATGAAACAGCGCCAAAATCACAAGGATCTTCCGTTGTTTTTCGTCACCTTTTATGATCTGGCTCCACTGTGTTTTCTCCCTAAATGCACCCGTCCGGCCTCCCCATACTTTCTCAGCACTTGGCCACTCGATCGTGGCTCCTCTGTGGTCCGGTTCTAACGTGTACTCCCCCCGCCCACCCAATCCGACGGGTTTGGAATTTTAGGCCCCAGCTGGGCCCCCTGAAGACGCCTCCAGTCCTGGCAGGGAACCAGCTGGCTTCCCCCTTTCTCAGGTGGTGGAGAGGGGCAGGGCAAAGGGGGCCAGCACCCCAGCCACCCTCGGACAGAGAAGCAGGCGCGGTGTTAACCACCACGCACCGCCTTCCCCGCCCTTCCCCCGCGCCACCCCGAAAAGCAGCGCACCCCGCGGCGGCCTCCGAAGAGTCCCACCTCTGCTCGGCTCTTGAGGCTGCTGCGCTTGGGTCGAAGCAAGACATCCTTGAAGTCCAGCTTGAGGTCCGCATCGATGCGGGGCATGGTGCGCGGCGCTAGCCTGGGGCCCGCAGCTCGCTGCTGCGGAGCCGGCGCGCGGGGCGGGGGCGGCGGGCCGCGGGGACCGGGCGCCGGGCAGGGACGGGGGCGGCGGGCCGCGGGGACCGGCGCCGGGCAGGGACGGGGTGCGGAAGCCCGTGCTCGCGGGCGCCCGGCGCGCACGCTGCGCTCTTAAGGCCGCGGGCTCCCGCAGCGGCGCTCCGCCCGCCAGACTCCGAGGCCGCGCCCCGCCCGGCGCCTGGGGCCAGGGTGGGAGGGGAAGGGGGGGGTCCGGGTTAGGGACAGACCAGTAGCTAAGAAGTCCGCGAGTGACATTTTTAACAAGCCCCCTCCTTTTCTCTCTCCCTCCCTCCCAACCCTCCGTTTACAGCCTTGCTGATTGCGGTGCCGAAATTGGGCGGGGAGGGGGTGGGGGCTGTCATCGAGGTCCCCCCTAGGGAGGAGACTTGGCGTGTGACAACCTTTCCCAGGGGAAAAGGCCACTCCTTGAGAGGTTTTGCTTCTCCTTTCTCTCATTTCAAGCCCAGTGTGCCCACCAGGCGCTGAGTCAGACCTTCACATGCAGAGAAATAAGAAACCCTTGGGAAGCTGAACAGAATTAATGAAGAGTGTGGGCTGGTGAATCTATTTAGCAGCAATGGGATTGTTGACACAACTTTTGGATCGTCTAGGTCTCAGGGGTGGGTGGGTTGGTTGGGTTGGTTTTTATAAAGGCAGTGGAGTACATAATCATCACAGATCCTGGGATTTAAGGGACCTGAGTCCCCTCCCTGAAGTTACCAGGGATGGCAGTTTATTTTTAATTCACTGTTGACCTTTGGGAGTCTTGGAGAGCTTAGGAATGTGCTTATGTGCTTGGTTGGCCTGCGCTTTCTCATTCACTCTCCTAACGACCCAATAAAGAAGGAACCATTTTGCAGATAAAGTAGGTGAGGATCATATACATGAAATAACTTGCCTGTGTTTGCAGTAAAAAATATAAATATCTCAGTCCTTAACATACAATACAGCCCAGGCCGGTTTGGCTCAGCGGTTAGAGCGTCGGCTTGGGGTCCAGAGAGACGGGGTTCGGTTCCCGCTAAGGGCACGTACCTCGGTTGCAGTTTGTCCCTGGCCCTGGTTGGTCTTGCGGGTGGCAGCTACTCAATGTGTCCCTTTCACGTCGATGTTTCTCTCTCTCTCTTCCTCTCTCTCCCTCCCACTCTGTCTGAACAAAAAATGGAAAAAAGTCCTCGGGTGAGGATTAAAAAACAAACAAAAAACATACAATACAAATTTAACTAAAGCCACTTTTGCCCTGGGAACCTCTGCCTGGCTTAAAAACCTGACCTCAGCTACTTCTAGACGGTTGACCTTGAGGGAGTCACTTAATTTCTCTAAACCTCAGTTTTCTCACAGGTTGCAAAGAAAGGGGAAGATAAAGAGTCTTATCCTTTCCCAGGCTTATGTGAGAATTATAGTGTGTGTGTGTGTGTGTGTGTGTGTGTGATAATGCACACGTATGCACGTGGACACAATGCGTATTTCATAGTTGTGCAATAAATGGTAGCTATTTATTTGGAGTCACATGTTACATTATGTTAATTTGACCTGGGCTTCAAGGCTAAGGCGACTTGATTCCATTCTTCTGTAGGCCTCTTGGCTGAGGCAACTAAATAACTCCATTTTTATCATCAATGGACCTTCTTTGATATTTTTCCAATAATAGATTACCCCTAGAAGTAAAGGAATTTTGCCTAAGATTATAGTTGCCTCACGTGTTGGGAGGCATTTGCAGTTTCCAGGTATCGGTATTTACAGGCATTTGCAGGTACTCACTCGTGAGCCCAGTGAATAATGCTAATTTTGACTTCTGTAATCGCTGTCACACCCACTATAGTACTGGTCCTCTGAGGGGCGGGGGGGGGGCAAAAGGAGGATGGGGCTTCTGTCTTTAAAATTGGACGAGCAAGAAGAATCGTGGCTGCTGATCTGAGAGGAGACTATGCCCCCGCAGCCTGCTGGCGAGAATAAAGCGCTCCTTTACAATTTGGCTGTGTGTCTCACATTATAACAAATTATGCTTTATATCCTCACACTAGTTTGCTAACTACTCAAAGGCAGTTGTCTGTGGTTCTTAATGCATTCATATTTTGTATGGCATAAAGACACATCACAATATTCATTTAACACAAATGTCTTCAAAAATAAAGGTAATAGGGGAGGAAAATAATCTTCCTTCTACCCTCTAAATTCTTCTGACTGGTCTAATAATCAAATTAACATGAGAAACATTAACAGGAGAAAATAATCAAAGTATTACGTATATACATATAGGGGCTCCATGAGACCATGATTCAAGGACAAATTGGATGCTTAAGGCTTGTAAGTTGTGGTTGTGGTTTGGAATTTCAAAGGACAGGAAAGCATTTCACAGGGAGATGGAAAAGCAAACAATGGTTAACAAATGTGTGCTGGGCCATCTGGAACCACAGGACACAGGACTTTGATCAAAGGGCCTTGCTAGGTTCCTCCCTATCACATACTACTTCAGGTTAAACTAGTTATCTATGATGTTACCTCCCTTCCTAAAGCTGGTCCTAAATTCTTTTAGGCAATTAGGAGGAAGTTTAAAGGTTTTTCCTCAGTCTTTTGTTAAAAAAAAAAGACACACTATAAAATAATCCATATCCCAAAGAGGCATGTTTTGGGATGGCAAATTTTGCTTCCCCTCAAGGTCTTAGTCCATCCCACTTGCTCTCATAACCTTTGCCCCACAGGAAGTCCTTGAAGTTTCACTGGAGAAAATGAAAGTTATCAGGGAGAAAATGGAAGTAACCACAATTAGTCCGGGCAACAAAATGTTTATGACTTTTATCAAATCATTGGGAGCCAGCCAGATGTGCTGCTTATTTCCAAAGTAGTGAGGGGGCCTAGCTCTGATCTTGAGTTCCTAATTAAAAACAAAATAAGAGTAGAATATAATTACTATATAGTGTGGTTATTTAAAACTTATTCTCCCAAAAGGGAAAAGAAACTAACCTTGTTAAGCAACTGCCTGAGATAAAGCACAGGGGTGAGTGAGGGCTTTATATTTATTGTTAGCACACTGTCTTAAAAGAAAAGCATCCTCAGGTTGAACTTGCTCATGTACCTCTCCTCTGGTTTCCTTGCCCACTCCCTTTCTATTAGACTCCAGACAGAGCTCACATTACATATTCCATTCCCTTTCCTTCTGGAATGTGTCGTCGTATCTGCTCTCTTGCCAGGCACAAAACCGCACTCCTATAGAGTCAACTTGAGTCCCTGATTCTCCCACACCAACCTAGGCTCCTTTACATATTTATTGTACCTTCTGTGTAGTCCTACTGTACTTCTTCTTACACTATAACAAGTCACCTCTTAGTACAAGGACTTCACGTAAAAGTTCTGACTAGACAGACAAAGCCATAAAGATATCTAGAATCCCATCCGTTAACATTATATTGTCAATGGCAGAGTGGTACCAAAAATTACGTGAGAATATAACCTCCAAAATTATGTAGGATAAAACCCACTTCATTATAGAGGGAATCATTTTCTATATTCATGAATTAAGTTTGCTATTATATTTTTTTCAAGGATTTCTGCATCTAAGCTCATGAGGCACATTAGTCTGTAGTTTCCTTTTGATGTCTTTATCAGGGAAGTAGTGCCCTCATAGGATGAGTTGGGAAATATTCCTTTACTCTTTTATTTTCTGAAAAAGTTTATATAGGATTGAACTGAGTTCTTTAAATATTTAATAAAATTAACCAGTGAGCTAAAATTACATGGGATGGTACTGTTATTGGAGAAATGCATGGATGGCATTTCACTGTTGCTAGTGGGAGTAGGTTCTTGGGGTACCACTGGAATAAGGATTTCCAGAGGCCCCCACAGGAGGATGAGATGAGGTAGAAAGCTTTATTTTTGAGGAATTACATCTCAATTTCCAAAGTCCCATTTCCCTTAATCCAGTCGTGGAAGATGTGCAGCTGGAGATTCAGTAGCACTAGAAGCAAAGCCAGCATCCAAAGTTTCCGTTCATGTTGGAACTAGGTCTGGTTTAGCATTAGGCTAGTTACAGCCCACTAGTGCACTGTGTGCGGGGTCTATATGGCCCACAGCCCAGCGCAGGAGCATAAGAGCCCTGCAAGCCAGGAATCAAGTGCAAGCAAGCAAGAGAGCAGGAGGGCAAACTCCTCCGGTGGTGGGAAGCGTCTGGCCCATGGGCCATATAAGGAAGGCCCTCAAAATCAGTACCAGCTAGCATCGCACGCCTCACCAAATTAGCCCGACCAAATATAGCAGGCTAATTTTGAAGTTGGTAATTTTGTATGGCCTATGAACGATGTTATAAATATGCAAATGGCCCTTGGCAGAAAAATTTTCCCCACCCCTGTGAGATGAAATATCTCCAATGTTCCCGTGCTTGCAGTGGCCACACCTACTCTGGCCAATGACCTGTTTCCAGGTGTGACTGCAGGCAAGTACGTTCCCTATTTCACCCACTTTATTGGGCATTTGTCCACCTCCACCCTGTCCAGTCCCTGGGGAGCGTTAAACTGCAGCTTCCCGGCAAAGCTGCACAATGGCATGCCCACAATATTTGGCTTTCCCTTTGCTCCTTCCCAGTTATTCATAAGTAATGTGTCAGGATGGCCGAGTGGTCTAACACGCCAGACTCAAGCTCTGCTTCCCAGTTATTCATAATTAGGTTAAATTACAACAGTATCAATATAATTATTCATTTTTAGTAGATAAGCTTCCCTCAAAACCCAGAAGTAAATAAAATTAAGTATTAAAAAGTTGGAGATATTTCAAAATTATAATATTTAATATGGGGATAAGAAAAAATTAGTGCATATTTGATAGTTTGTGTATCTGTAATATTTAAGAACATCTGTACCACTGGATTAACAGAACAGCCTCTAACGCCAATTCAAACTGTATACTTGAATAATTGATGTAAACTGAGAAGTAGAAAGTAAAATGTATTAAATTTATGTAGATTGTTGGGACATTTCAGAGGAC